CAAAGTCATTAACTTGTGAATGATGTTGTTGGGGATAATGGGTGGAGTGCATAAACAAAGAGAATACGGATAAGTCATAGAAGTAAAAGGAAGAAATAAAATCTGTAACTCAAATGCATACATAGCCGTAGCTAATAATGAAGTATGTGATAGGGGATCATGTTGGGAATGCCTAAAATAGAATGTGGCCGGAGCGATCGTGGCCGTAGCCATGGTAAAAATAATGACCGGAGTCAATGTGGCCGTAGCCATAGTAAGAGGTGATGACCGGAGTCATGGTGGCCAGAGCCGTAATAAAAAGTGATGACCAGAGTCACAATGTAACCAAAGCCGTGATAAAAAATGATGACCGGAGTCATAATGGCCGGAGCGAAGTGAAACGTGTGACAGTGGTCACTGTGGTCGAGGCCGATGTGAAATGTGATGCAAAGTTACTGTGGCCAGAGCCGAAGTGAAACACTTGCAAAAATTGAGAATGTGTAAAAGTGAGTAAGAGTGTTGAAATGGGCTTAAGTGAGCCCGTCTGAGAAGTCTGACAAAGCGGCAATACGTGGTGTGACAGCTGTTCTTTGAATGACATGTGCAATAACTGCGGTTGTAAAAAGAGAACTGCAACAGTCAAATGGGTAGATTTGAAAAACGAACCGTCAAGTTCGAAACGGTGCTGTTTGGGGCAGACCGTCGAATGTGAAACGGTGTGACTAAGGGCCGTAAGATTAAACGAATCCCAGCCGTTGAGATCTAACTTTGCCCAGAGGTATGAATAGTCATTTTTCTATAAAAAGAAGTTTACTTTCTGCATTTTCTACGAAATTTCTGTAAAAAGACTTTACTGTGTGCTTCTTGCGCGTGAATTGCTGCAACATTTGGCAGTTTCTACATCAAGTTTTCGAAACTGAAATCAGGTAATGTATACGAACCTCTGATTTTGTGTTAATCGAAGTGTCACTCTCCTTTCTCCCTTTCTGTGGTTGATTTAGAGTCCTCTAAGGGAAGTTAGGGTTGGAAGTGAGAATGACTTTAAATGTGCATTATAGGGGTTTTTGTTGTTTTCTG